GCGAAGGGGATAAAGCCAAGGGGGGCCCGTTAGAGGTGTAGTCTCGTCGGTAATTAATGGCCCTGGTCGGTGCGAGGCCCGAGGGGATGCTGTGCTTCGAGTGGTTTGTTCTTGACCGAGGGGACGATTGTCGAGGAAAGCGAAGGCGAGAGGTAGCGCGACCTGCGTATCGCTAGCTTATTTCTTTCTTTCTTTATCTCTTTAGTCAAATAGTGCGGCTATTTAAAACGATCATCGTTAGATGTCGTCGTGGGTCGCTTAGACTCGCGACGCGACTGACAAAGTTATGACGGTCGGTAATTCATTACCGCTGCCTCGTCTCGTATAATGTGAGCGCGTTAGATATGTCATAATTGTCGATACGTTAATCGTCGCGACGTTAATCCCCGCTCCGACTGCGTTTAATTCTCTAAATTTTAATATCTCGATGTTTGCAGCTATCGGGAATATTACAAAAACAACAACAAAAACCAAAAACAAAACAAAAAAAAACACACACACACACACACATTTGCGAAGATCGGGCGGCATTTAGTTCACCGCAGCCGTTCAACAACATTCATCCAGAACAAAACTCTATCTTATTATTGATGATTATTCACCGCTTTCGAATTATCGCACCATGGTAATATAGAAATCATTACAACTGTCAATGTTTGATATCGATTATAAATATTGCTTAAATACTTAAACGATGGTAATAGAAAAATTATTACTTTCTTCCAACGTGCATGTAATAACGAGAAAGATAAATTTAACAATCTGCAGATTCGAATGAAATGTCTAGTCGACGACTATAATGTCGAAAATTGGGTTTTTATTAAAAATATAAAAGCTTATTAAATGTTCACCAAAATTTGAAGGATTCAACGGACTCTGTCGACTCTATGAAATTTCATTGATTTGATATTGAATATTGGTTATTCGACGGTACTCAACTCCTTAACTATTATTCAGAATATTTTCCATACAATTTCTCTTGTAATCGATATGTTGAATTAAATTTTTAATACGAAAAGTAACTACGTTCTATGTACATTTGAAAAGAGATAACGTTAACGCCTTGTTATTAATATTAATAATACAATCTTTTAATTGCATTATTCATACTAGCCTTCTATCTCGTTATTACCTCTAATTGTTGATAAATTGATAAATAAAGACAATTGTTGTTAAGCTTTTGCCAATTTTAAAGCATAGAATTTATTAAATTCACTACTTTCTCTATATTTCTACTTGACTCACCGACGTAACACATGCATAATCCTCAATTACGAACGTTGACACGTTCGTTAACTAAGTATGTGTTACATTAAAATCGTTGGCATATTTCACCGCATGTACAATCCACCACTAATACAATGTAATTGAGATATTTAGAAAGCAAAGGTCTTAATTATAATAATATTTCCATTTTTTACTTAATAACATTTTGCGTTCAAACACTTATGAATCATATTACACAATCGAACTATTATCTAGTGTTTTTTTTTTTTGTTGTAATTTATCACTTTAGTATCGATTAATAGTTATTCGATTTAATAAACAATTTAATAAACTTTGCTTTTAACATAATTAGCTAAACGTTGTCGCATAATTAAATAAATAAATAATAGCGATAATGCCATACAAATCAAAATCTGTCGTTCGGTTTAAATTCTATTTTATTTTTTGTTTTGTTTTATGAAATGAATCACTATTGAAAAATATTACACAATTATTATGAAATAATGAGATTCAAAGATAGCATTAATAAATATGTCAAACGATTATCTAAATACGTACCTCGTTGTTTATATATAATTTTATATTGTTAATAATAATCAACATCTTGTTCTTTATATAAATATTGAACAAATACGTTTAGTAGATTACACTTTGTAAAGTGATTTTCAAGAAAATTAAAACAATTGCAATGGCATTAATTTCAAAGTAACGATATTGTCGATAATATCGATATATAAAAATCGTATAAATTTAATTAGATTTTATTTATACATTTTAGTTTATACTGAAAACATTTATATAAAGAGTAAAAAGATAATAAATTTTCATTCCAATCGCCTCATTATCATTATAATTACAGTCGTCATCGTCGTCATCGCCATCATCATCATCATTATTATTAGTATTAAGAAGTTTTATTATTATTATCATTAATGCTGTTACTACTGTTACTACTGCTACTACTGTTACTATTGCTATTACTACTACTACTACTACTACAATTACTACCACTACTACTACTATTATGATGTAAGCCATTTATTTTTGAGATGTAAAGTAATGTTGGAAACAATATTAACACACGTATATCAATAAAAATAAAAGCTTTTACAGCAACTTGGGAAATTAATGGCAATTTAAAAAGTAGGTGCACTACTCATATAGTTATAAATTTTTCAATTCTAAATAAGAAATTCAGGCTATGAATGTAAAGAAATACAATGTACACACATATATATCAAGTCTAATAGTTTTAATGCATAAAATACGATTAAAAAAACACACACACACACACATATATATATATATATATATAATGAAGTTAAATGCCATATGTTTTTAATTAGTAAGAAAATGTTAAATAATGTACCAGCACGTCAATAAAACTGTATTACTATCTTTTTCTTATACTCTATTACAAATTTTTATTGTTATGATAATGAAAAAGTATTAATAAGCTTCAAATATTATATGGTAATTTTATCATTTTTCACGTAAATATAAGGCTCGTGAATTACTTATAAAAAAATATATTTTTTGATAGAGTGTATCTTTTGAAATTGTAATAAAATAATTACTCAACGATATAAATTCATATATTTAAAAACAGGGCTCATTGTTCATGTATCCAGAGGATAATAAAAATTTCGTCATTAGAAAAATAAAAATGAAGAGTTAATTCACACATTGTGATATTCGATAAATTTCGTGCCATTATATATATTCCTAATCTGCTTGTCACACATAATTTTATAAATTAATAATTTAATAGTTTAATAATTTAGCCGTGCTAAGAGATTATAACTCTTCTTGTTTGCTTGCATATTTATTTGAGAAATGTATTGTGATTGGCCACATAATAAATAAACGCCGCGAAATGTTATTATATGTAACGTTCAACACGAACTCTGTAATCACAATTACTTAACAATATTTGTAATAACTACGGCTATTGTAGCCTCCTCCCTCCTCGTCGCTTGCTTTAAAAAAAAAATATATATATATATATATATATATATATATATATCATTGAATAGAATGTTTCACCGAGCAAGCGCAATTACGGTACAGCAAATTAATAATAATAATAACAATAACAATAACAACCGGGCACACTGCGAATATATAAATTAATTAAATGATTCAAGATGTCGAGAATACCATGGTCATGGAAGTATTAATAATTGCTTTCAATTCGCAAAGCCAAATCGACGGCTAATACCTCCATTAATAGCATTTTTTTTTATTTTTCTTATTCTTTTATTTTTTGAAAAATCCGTTCCAATTTATTAATTGAATTCCGAGTATTGTTATGCAGATAATTGCGCAATTGTGTGAAAAACACTAATATAGCACGAGAAGGAATTTAACTAGTAAGGAGGTACTGCACTCGTACACGTGGCATATCATTTCGATCTAATGTGTGTGTGTGTGTGTTTTTTTTTTTCCTCTCTTTTTTTCACTTCCTTGTAACATCGCGCTCGAACGATTAGGACCACATTTTCTTACATATTTGTTAGAATTATATACGGCGCGCTCGACATTGTCGATCTAATAACGAGGATCTTCCATTATGAAATCGATAAGACACAATAGGCAATATGTTAACACGTTAACGTCCAATTTGTCCGATCCTAATAACTCGGCGCGTCAATAGTGTTTGGAAAATGTGTAATGACATAATTTGATCGCTGGCAAGGAGGGAGGGAGGGAGGGAGGGAGGGCGCGCACAGCTCCCAAATCACGTTGCTCGATAAATCGGAAAATAAAGGACAAGAGAATGCGGAGCAAACGCCAGGTCGGACCTATATATCTCATTTGCGCTTTCCTCGTCGATGCGCAATTAAAAATGGTCATACATAAATGACCGAGACTATAATTAGTCGATTTTTTCTCATTGCCAAGTATTTCAACGTAACTAACTCTCGTATGTAAATATATTCTTTATATTATATCAGAGGCGCTCGCTCGCTCGCTCGCTATATTCTTAGAAATAAGATTGCGCGTTATGAAGATGAATTTTTTTGACAGATTTTTGGTTAAGCGCGGGATATATGCTTGTAGTTCTAGCGATGGGAAGGAAACACGTTTTCTCTCACTCACCAACTCCAGCCGCTGTTTATCGAACCAAAAGCCGACGAGCACGCGCTCACTATACATAATTTCCTATATCGTTCACGACCGCCGCCGCCGCCGCATCTTTAATGACGACAAAATAATTTGCAACGATTAAATGAATTTGTTTTTTTTTTTGTTTTGTTTTAACCGACTGTCGTTGATCAGGTTTTCAGATGACTTATCGAAAATCAAAACAAACGAGTCGCAACGAAAGGGCTGCCGTGTCGGCAAAGTAAAGTAATTGGTCAGCAAGTTGATTTAAGGATGTGTACGAGGGAGGGAAGTAATGGGGGGGGGGGGGGGGAGAAAAGCATGAATGGAACGAGAAGATGCGTTGATTTGGTCAAACGCAAGGTAGAAAAAGCACAACACATTTGTTAATTTTTTTTTTGTTTTATATATATATATATATATATATTATACTATAAAAAATGATATTTATTCAGTTCAAGAAATATTCATTATTCCTTTACATAATATGTACAACAATCTATCGGTGTATATGCATTGTGACAAATAAATATCAGCACTGATGACTGGGTAATAAATAATGTCATTGGCCCTGAAAAGGGCCGTTTTTCTCCTTCCGCTGGCCATCCGAGCGGACACAAATTCATGCCGCGGGCTGCGACCTCACCTCGCGTCCTCCCATCCCGCTGCTGCTCGCTGGCCAGGTTCGGCGCGTGCCCGCGGCAACTGCTCACCAGGTGCCGCTTCGTACCCGCCGTGTCTCCTCCCGGTCCACTCACCGCTGCTCAGAGCATCTCCGTCGCTCGTCAATGGGGCCTCACTTCTTCTTGGCCGGGGCCTTTTTCGCCGCGGGTTTTTTCGGCTTCGCGGCTTTGGGTTTCTTGGCAGCGGGGGCTTTGGCCTTCTTGGGGGCCGCGGCTTTGGGTTTGGCCGGCTTTTTCACAGCGGCGGGCTTCGGCTTCTTCGTCGTCAGGGCCTTCACGCTCTTCTTTTTCTCAACAGTCGGCTTCTTTGCGGCCGCGGGTTTCTTCGCGGTGGCCTTCTTCGGGGTAGCCGCCTTCTTGGGTGCCACGGGCTTCTTCGACGGCGAGCGTTTTTTCGGGGCGACGACCTTCTTAACACTGGCGCTTGGCTTCTTCTTGGCCTTGCCTTCGGCTTTAGCTGCCGAGAGCTTGAAGGAGCCGGAGGCACCCTTTCCCTTGACCTGGACGAGCTCCTTCGACGCTACAGCCGACTTGAGGTACTTCTTAATGAAGGGCGAGTGCTTCTCCGCGTCAACTTTATACGTCGTCGCGATGTACTTCTTGATGGCTTGGAAGGACGAGCCTCCGCGCTCTTTGAGGGCACGGATGGCTGCGACCACCATCTCCGAGGTACGCGGATGCGTAGGCTTCGCTCTCGGCTTCTTCGCTTTCGCCGAGGCGGACTTTTTCGGACTCGCGGGAGCTGCTGCCGTGGACTCGGTCGCACTCGCTGCTACTTTAGTTTCCGACATTGTTGCGCTTCTTAGGCTTGGCTTAAAGCAAACGTGCTACGATAAAGCGGCGATAATACGTGCTCGTACGTACAAATACACAGGGACAACCCGCTCCCAAGTCACCCACGTTTATTATCTCTCACAGTAAGGTTGACGACAGCGCGTGTGCGTTGAGCTGTGCGTGTGCGGTTGATTTATTAAGCTCACGATCAACGACCGAACAGAGACACAAGAGCGAGTGGAGTAACAATTACGGCCGAGGAAGGCTTCTAGTCATAGAGGAGCGCGGACGTCGTAGAGAGGCCCAGGCGTACTTGCGCCTCCGCCGCGCCGAGTTCAGCTCTGTCGCCGGTACGCATTGGCCACTTTGAGAGGGATTTTTCGATGTCGGCACGTGACTTTTCGAAACTCCTGGTGGTGCGACCGCTGGTTCAAACCGTGGCCACGACGGGCCCATCACAACCAGAGACCGATCACGACCCCGCGGCCGCTTGCGCCCGCTTTTCCGAGGCCCCGCTTTTCGCGGCCCGTTGCACCCCTCCTGGAAAACGGCCCGGCCAGGGCGAACCCCGGCCACGATCGTTTGCCGACGCCCCGGACCCGTCGCCCCAAAGACAGAGCTACGCTCCGAGTCGACGGGCGCGTCGCTGCGCGCCAAACTCCCCGAGATAATCGCCCGAGAAGACAAGGCCCGAGGCTTCCTTTCGGCGCTCCGGGCTCGCCTTACAACGCGCCTCGATCGCCGTTTTTCTAGGATTTGTGGATTTTTTGATTTTGTGATATTTATCGATTTTTAGGCTGATAAACTGTTTCGATGCCTCGGCGATTAATGGATCCCGTAGATTTCGCGGACTTTTTGAGGCGACGGAAGCCGCAGACGGCGAGCTTATGCTTTTTTGGTGTCGGCCCGCGTTCTTTTATGGGAGCATATACGAGAGGTCCACTTGAAACGGATATTTCAATTTCTCAGCCATCGACTTATGTGATACTGTTTCTTATGTGTTTTTTCAATATTTTTCTAAAAAATGGAAACTTTTGGGAAAACTATTGTACCTTGATGAGATCTGCAGGAGGCGCGGTGTAATCAAGAATTCGGCGGGGCCGTACAGTCTCTCCTGGACGTTTCATTTTTTTTCTCTACCATTTCCCATCGTACTCTCCTTTAAATTTATTGTTACAAAAATGTTATTAATAAATCCGTGACGTGTTGGAGCATTATTGTCGTGAGTTTTGCGTAACGTTAATATGCAACGGGCTTTTTGCATTTAAAAAAAAAAAGGCTCCAATATTGCGTATAAAATAAGGACGTCCAGACGTTTAAACCCACTTTGCTTTCCACCAGCTTTTCAACTCCCGTAATTTTTTAATAATCGTTCCTTATTTTTAAGCTCTGTTCGTTAGATATATTAAAGATAAAAAGAAGAAGATTCGATTGCATGTAAATAAATTATCGTTAATGTCTAGTTCGTTAAATATGGGATCACGTTTACGCGCAATTGGAAGCGCAAAGTTTTGCGACCAAACCGTTTCTCCCGCTACATTCCTACTTTTTATCTCGCGCGATTCCATAAATTGTGCTTCGCTTCAAAAACTCCATTGAACTAATTATACGGCAATCGTATTCTCCTACGACTAATAAAACATAAACAAGAAAAATCAATTCAAAACCACGACAGAAAATAAAAAAGCATAACAAAAAATCAGAGTGCAAAGAAGAATACCGTGAACGTTCTCTTCGTAGGTCTCTTGTTAGCTCCAACTTTCAGCCGCAGACGACAGTTCAATTGGTTTAATCGCTCGTAAATTATGATTATTACAGAGCTGGCGATTGCGCAGGGGATGGATAATCAGGATTTTTTAAATCTTGCGTATCGAATGCACATGCAATCCATATCGAGCATTATTGGTGTCGCTTGTCATATTAAGCTTCGATAAATCGAAACGCGTGTTCGCCAGCCCGTCTTACTTTCTTACTTTTTTTTTTTTTTTTTTTTTTTTTTTTTTTTTTTAATATGCTAGAATTAACGACAACCGGCCATCGAACGTAAGTTTCCCCTATGGGGTTTGTGTGGCCCGCGTCCGGGAACCTGTTCCCAGGTCATCGATAGCTCTCGAGGGCGCATCCGGGTAAGAGTCGTCTGGAGGGGAGACCTTCCCGGCGATTACGCCCTCTTTATGCTCGCGAGCATCTCGGGGCTGCGACGCGTGCTCCGGTTCGCCACTGCATTTCGGAGGCTCGCGATCAAGTGCCGTCCTGGAAATCCACAGGGACGCGTCCCTACGGGTTCGGGCCACGTGATACCGTCAGGTCGATCGTTGGTCCGCAGCCGGGGACCCGTGAAACCGGGCATTTTCCGGAGGGTGCGGAGTCGCCGGCCAAACGCACCTCCGCGGACTTTAGGAACTTGAGTCGCGAGGCGGATCGATAGACACCGGAAAGCGACAGCATCTCGAAGACCAGATCCCCGAGTGTCCGGTGAGTCGGGGCACGATGGATCAGGGGCCCGGAAATATGTGCTAGCGGCCTGTCCATGTCGGTTGGGAAAAGCGTGCGTTCGGAGGAAATCGCGCGGTAGAAGTGCAGCGGAGCCGAGCGGCCTCTCTGCGAGGTCCGCGCTCGGGGCGTCTCTCTCTCTCTCTCCGCGCGGTGCCTCTGTCGCTCTCGCGTCGTCGTGCATACCCGCGTGGACAATGGGCGATACGGCGCGCGTAAGACGGAAACGACGAGCGGGAAAGAGCGAGAGAGCGATCGAGCACAAGTGAGTGACGAGAGGGAGGTTACGGGCTGCGGGAGGTCGGGGCGACGGAGGCGGACGGGAGAGGGTCGTCGTGGAAGAGGGAAGGAGCATTAGAATTTTTTCTTTATTCGCGACTGGAGCGCACATATCCACACGGTGGACTACTGCTGCGCGTTTGGCTCGAAATTGATTATGACGAGAATTTGGGAGAGAGAGGAGAGAGATTTCGAGATCGGCGCGCGGCACTCGTAACTGCGACATCGTCCGTCTCCCCGTGGATGTTTCGTACGATTGCGCCGGAGTGTAGCCAACACGTGCGATATTCGCGCGCCAACGAAGCACAACTCCACACGCCGACTTTTCTCCCGCTTTATTTTGTTTTCCTGCCTTTGCGTGTTTTATTGATCCGGTAGATTTATTTCTCTTAGCATTCTCGTGAGCCTCTCTAAACCTCTCTCATTTTTCTTTGATTGTCTCCGATAATAAATAAAATGTACTAGTGACGACGATTGTTTCGTTATACGCACTCGGGCTGCAATCTGCTACGGATTTTCGCTATCAATTTTTCGCTTCGCCTCTCGCGTCATTTTTCCTTTTGAATGCACAATGCACAAGCGACGGAGAGAATATGCGACAGAGAGGGAGAAATACTCAATGAGATGGGCAGATAAATAGATAGATCAACCGATAGATTGATAGAGAGAGAGAGAGAGAGAGAGAGAGCAAGATCGCGAATCTACGAGCGTGGGCGTGAAGAGGTCGAGGGAAAGGGAAAACGACTAGGATCCAATATATAAGATAGATAGAGATAGATAGAGAGAGAGAGAGAGAGAGAGAGAGAGAGAGAGAGAGAAGTGCAAGCTAATGCAAGTGTCAGTGGTCGGGTGACGATTGGGAGGGCGGGAATAGGAGGATAGTGAGTGAGTGAGAGCCAGCGTCAGAGAGGGAAATATTACGAGAAGTAATACGATGAATTTGGTTTCTAAGTGATGAAATTGAATTATTTTTGGCATTTTTAAAGAAAACTAAGAGCAATTATGACACGCACAATGTAATTGCCACCGCTAAGTTTGAAATCAATTGTCAGCTTTTATTTTTCAATCTGATAAATTTATTCTCATTAATATATACTTTAAGATGTCATAATGCCGTTTTTAGAGAATATATTAGTTGGACCTACGTCACATTAGCGTTATATTGATAATTGCCGTGTGCAATATATAATGATTACACAGATGGTGTTAATCTCACAATTAGACGCTAATTATGCTTTATATCAGAATAACTTCAATGCTATATGGGTTCACATAAAATTATCTATTATAAATGAATCGCACAGATCACCGAATTATTTACTGGTTTGCACAATTTTTCGTAACATACTGCGAGCCGCGAATAAATTAATGTACTCATCTTTCCTTTAAATGTTACTTATTCTCATAGACGTTGTACATTTTAATTGCAGATAAATGTAGATATACATACACTAACGATTATCCGAATATACATGTACTTGACATTGATATAATTCTACTCGTATCAAATGTAAACTTTGTTCAATAATCCTCAGATATAATTGCTACCAATAATACCATTTTAAAGAATGTAACAAGAATCTTCTTAGCTAATATTAATGCTAAAATGAGGGGGGGGGGGGGGGGGGGGGTAGTTGTAGAGAAACAAATATCAAAATTTTAAATATTCATTTTTATTTCCAAGATTTACAACTCGGAAGAATTATTTATCATAAATTAAAATACAGAAGATCGTTTTTGACGATCACAATAACGATAATAACGTTACATTTGTGATTGAAGAACCAACGACAAACAAACGCCCCTATAGGGGTATAATTGAATTGAAATTTTCAATTGAAATTGCCAATTTCGAAAAATTAGGCTTCATCATCCATAGACATTATAAAAATCATGTCCACAAAATTGTCTTCCAACTTTAATGAAATACAGTCGTCTATTGTGCGTAGTACGATTTAAAAAAAAAAAAAAAAAATCTGAAATGTCCGCAATAGGATATTCAATTATATTCCGGGCCGAGGCTCACATTATTTTAATAGAAATTAATACAGAAAACAATATAATCAATTATCTTGTTCATTACAAAACTTGTCGAATATCGATTTTCAAATCCGCATGTCTTCACCCAGAAGCGTAATAACTCCGTAATGTAAACAGAAAAGTGCTCGAAAAAAATCGAAAGATAGTCTGCATTGGAGATAACATCGAGCGATTTGGGACCGGATGGGACAATCATCTATTAAACTCGTCCATTAAAGGGAATTCGAAAATCTTGGCTGATCCTATTTTTCGCAAATCCTAGAAAAACGGCGATCGAGGCGCGTTGTAAGGCGAGCCCGGAGCGCCGAAAGGAAGCCTCGGGCCTTGTCTTCTCGGGCGATTATCTCGGGGAGTTTGGCGCGCAGCGACGCGCCCGTCGACTCGGAGCGTAGCTCTGTCTTTGGGGCGACGGGTCCGGGGCGTCGGCAAACGATCGTGGCCGGGGTTCGCCCTGGCCGGGCCGTTTTCCAGGAGGGGTGCAACGGGCCGCGAAAAGCGGGGCCTCGGAAAAGCGGGCGCAAGCGGCCGCGGGGTCGTGATCGGTCTCTGGTTGTGATGGGCCCGTCGTGGCCACGGTTTGAACCAGCGGTCGCACCACCAGGAGTTTCGAAAAGTCACGTGCCGACATCGAAAAATCCCTCTCAAAGTGGCCAATGCGTACCGGCGACAGAGCTGAACTCGGCGCGGCGGAGGCGCAAGTACGCCTGGGCCTCTCTACGACGTCCGCGCTCCTCTATGACGTTCGCAGCTCGAGCTCGACTGCGTTATTGCGATATTGGATAGTGGCCGAGGCAGAGCCGAACGAAATTTTTTCGCGTGGTATATAGCCGCTACTTTCGAGCTAATCGTAATCAGAGAAATCGCTCGGGGAGGTTGTGTTTGTATCGTTTGTTTGGATAATTCAACGAGGAGATGGTTGTAAGTACATCGGGTTTACCTTCGGGCGCCACTCTGGCCACGGCAAAGAAGATCGCCGCTGCTAAAACTGCAGCAGCCAAGAAACCAAGAGCTAAGCCGAGCCACCCACCGACATCCGATATGGTTGAGGCTGCTATTAAGGCCCTGAAGGAGCGCGGGGGTTCATCTCTTCAGGCCATTAAGAAGTACATCGCAGCGACGTATAAAGTTGACGCGGAGAAGCACTCGCCCTTCATTAAAAAGTACCTCAAGTCCGCGGTGGCGTCGAAAGATCTTGTGCAGGTGAAGGGGAAGGGTGCTTCCGGTTCGTTTAAATTGTCCGTTGGGGAAGGTGCGGTGAAGGCAAACGCCAAGACCAAGCGACCAGCGGCTAAGAAATCCGTAGCCAAAAAGCCGATTTCCCCGGTAAAGAAGACCGTAGCGGCCAAAGCAAAGAGGAGCCCGGTGAAGTCGTTGAAGAAGCTGTCGAGTCCGAAGAAGGCAATTAAGACACTTGCGGCCAAATCACCCAAGCCGAAGGCGCGAAAATCGCCGAAGCTTGCGAAGAAGCCGAGTAAGCCCGTGGCCAGGAAAACCGTGAGCAAGGTTAAGAAGTCGCCCGTGAAGAAAAGCAGCGTGAAAAAGTAGATTGTCGGATCATTTTTGTGTACGGCAGCCTGTGCTCCAAAGCGATGATTTTAATTAGATAACGTTCTGGTAATAACGGATGCGCAAAACGGCCCTTTTTAGGGCCAATTATACATTTCTTGGCACTGAAACTTTACGTTTAGTTCAGTCTCATTTTGTAAACTAAAAACCAAACTCATTGTAATGTAAATCGAATTTTCATTATATAATTCACTTTGTGTATTTACTTCCGAGACACACTTGTACATACACATATACAACACGACACGGGACGCGTGCACGCACATATACACTCACGCACGTAATAATACCAATTGATAATTATACCGTTTGTGTTATCATTTAATTTGATATATTGTAAACAATTGGAATATTTTAAATAAGTATGCATATATATATATATATATATATATATATATATATATATATATATGTGTGTGTGTATAATAGGGATGGAAATTTTAGCGACTATTCAAAAATACAAAAGTGATCCTATGTATATAAGTATCGTATATACAAAATATAGTACGTGCTACTAGAGTTTAGATTTTCATTTCATCAGTATTTATAATTTTTAGTACAAATTATAATAACGTTAGAGTATTATTATATTGTATCTTTTGTTATACCAAAAATATATATTTATTTTTAATAAAAAAAAAAAGACGGATGCTATTTATTCCCAATGGATTTTCATCTTTTATTTAATAAACCTTGTATAAGAAAGAGCCCATTTTTAATAAATTATGACTTGGTGATAAATCTGATTTTCGTAATTGAAAAATATAAGGCGGCAGCGTATTTGTACGTTTCGAATGATAGACACGGGAAATTTGAAATTCTTTAAAAAAACAGGAGATTTGTTAGAGTTTAAAGGTTAATTGAAATATCTATATTAATAGTTATATATAAACGATTATTGGTTTTAAATTACATTTTTAATATTTCATTGAAATCAGATTGAATTGCGATAAGATTGGAATGTATATTTTGATAACGAGCATAAAATGCCAATATAGATTTTCATAATTTATGCATAGCAGTATTATACAATTTCTAGATTCTTCCATTGTTCTCACTGAATTTCGTGTTACGCGCAGTAAATAAATCGTGTCCGTATTTCTCTCTATAAATCTTATAAAAAGCATCGTATAATTTTAAAATCATTTATTAAAAACTATTCATTGAATGTTGTTTCATCGATTCTATTGATAATTGTGTTTCAACAATCGGACATTATCGTTGTTTCTTCATTGGGAAAAGTGGGTATTTTGAAGTTTCTTGTGTTATTGTTTTGGGACGCCATTGCCAATGGTAATCAACTCGAACAGTCCATTCGGGACTTTACGACGCATCGGCCACTTCAACATCGACTTTTCCAAAGATGGCGTCACTTGTTGTCCAATTTTGCGATCAGCTGATCGCAGCTGATCTAATGCATATGTCAGAGGTGCGTTTTATCGTCTCGTGTGATATTTGGAGCAGATTTTTGGTATTTTAGAGGTGAATTATGGAGTGGATCTCGGGATTGGCGGGCAAGGCCGAGGAAGTATTGAATAATATCGATCGGGGCACCGCTGCTGTGCTCAAGAAAGAAGATGGCAAACGAGGAGTTCAGGCTTCGGATTTGTTGGAGGTTAGGTCGCTGCCACTTGACTCGAGTTTGACCGTTGAAGAATTTCTGAAAGATGAGACTAAGTGAGGATTTTCATAATGGCTCGTCTCTTTTATGTCTCAGGGATTTGCAAACAATCGTAGTAATATATCAATGTACTTGTTAGACATTGTATTTGTCACTCGTCTTCGTTAGATTCGTTATACCTTTTTGTATATTATATGCTCTATTCATTTAATCTTAATTAGATGTTTATTTATTTGTAATATTATAATATTAAAAATGTTTTAAATTCTTTATATCAATATGAGAGAAAGTTTTCCATAGTAAGTTCACATTATAACAATTATAACGCTAATGAAAACATTGATCTCATTGCTCACGTTCTGTACAGCTAATCGTGTAGTAAATTCTTGTACGAATTGAATCGATTGCACAAGCAAGAAATTCCTTCTTTGGTACATTGTTTGATTACCCGATTCATCAAATATACTATCCAAATGTTCAATCTCTTATTATTTAAGCTAATTATCTTTTATTAAGCTCTTTTATTAAGCTAATTAATTATATCTTAGATACTCCGATCCAAAGATGGATTTTCAGAAAATGTCTTCATTTCCAAACACAATAATGAATTCAACATCAATAACATCAGCGTTTGTGGATAAGCCCATGACTTTGCAATCGGAATCTATTGCCTGGCTAGATAGCGCATCTGAGAATTCTGTTAAAACTGAAAATCTGTCAGACTATAATACTCAATGTAACGATTCTCATCTCAACGAAGAAAATAACGCTTATAAAGTAATCGACGAGACTAAAAATGCTTCCGATGATCCCAATCAATTTATAGAGATAATAGGTAAATTTTGCAGTCAATGCCATCACCTATTGTTTAAGAATTTAATGTTTGTCACTATTACATAGATGAGTCCAGTATGAAAAATCTTTCACCCGCTAAAAATGATAATATAAAATCAATTGATAAAGATAAAGAATGGAGAATAGAATACTCAAAGAAAATTGAATCGCTCGAAGATCAAATAAGTCTCTTAACATCGGAAAGAACGCGTTTTATAAGAGAGATATCGGATCTTAGTTCAACATTAGAAAAAACTAGATTGGAGTTAAGTTCCATTGAATCGGAGCTTGATCAACACCGCGCTAGAGCATTAAAAACATTACAAGAAAGAGATAAGCTCATAGCTGAATTAAGAAATAATTCGGAAGCTGAATTAGAGGATTCGAGCGTTCTTGTCGAACTCAATCAATTAAGGTGATAATATATAATGTTTTTCCAAATTCTCACGATATTGTAAATTATTATTCTATGGATTATGTCAGGCTGACTGGAATGCTGACTATATTCATAGCTCGAAATTTTCCTAACCATCATTATTAATTACAATCAATATTAATTATAGACGACAATGTTAATTAATTTATTTATTCGTGCAATTTGCGCTTCAAGTATGCTTTTGAATTTCATATGTCAATATTTCCTAACAATTTCATTGACATTATTATCAATGTTACTTTCATGATTATTACCGTGAATATTTAATTTTGTCATCATTTTCAGACAAGAACGTGATACATTGAGGGACGAAAATTGTGAAATTCGAGAAAAACTTCGACTGTCCCGTCAAGAAGCAATCGATGCCGATCTTAATGCGGAAAAAGTAAGGCAAAGGGCATCGGAAGCCAGTACGCAAGCTCGAGAAGCAGTAGCTGCCGAAAGAAGAAGAAGATTAGATGTCGAAGAGGATATAAAGTTTCGTAACGAGGTAATGTAACGAGTTGTATTTGTCACTAATATTTCTACAATTATTGTTAGCAATAGTGTTAATAATTCATGATGGAATGATTATTCAGGAGGTAAAATCTCTGCGTGATGAGCTGGCTCATAGACATAACACATTTACAGCGAAATTGCAAAAGCAAGAGTCGGAAATTTCAAGATTAAGATCGCAGCTTTCAGTTGTCGCAACGCCAAATTCAGAAGTTGAAACGCGCTTATCTAGTTTAACGAGAACTTTAGTATTAAAGCAGCAGGAGCTCGAGCATTTAACTACAGAGAGAAATGCTTTAAGATTACAACTTGAGAAGTTAGAGGTACATTTTGTCTTCTACAATTGGCTTTTCATGTTCTTATCGATCGATTACAAAGAAGAATAATAATGAACTTTGTATTTTACAGCATGAATATCAAAATTGGAGAAAAAATTTACCTTTCAATAATATAAACGACACCGACGACGCCAAGGCTTTATTGCCAAGTTTTTTAATAGAAAGTCCATTTGACACTGGAGTTGCTCGGCGTGTTAAAAGAGCATATTCATCATTGGATGCTGTAGGAGTGAGAATTGGACTGTTTCTCCGACGGTATCCTTTAGCAAGAATTTTAGTTTTAATTTACATGGTTAGTACAGAATTTACATTATTTCAAATACTGTTCAATTAAAAATGTAATATTATTTATTATTTTTTAGGCCTTACTTCAATTTTGGGTTCTTATCGTTCTGTTTTCAGAGTCTCCCGAAGTACATTAAACTAAGTTTATGTTTATAAATTTCATCAATAATATTTTTTTTTTTATGTATATATGATATAAATATATAAATATAATATAACATTATATGTAATATATAAAGAATATTTTATATATTATATATAATATAACTAATAAATTGTACATACGAAGCTACTCGTTTTAGAAAACATTAATTAAGCAATTAGAATACGCATTGTTTTATTATGATTAAGATAAAAGATTCTCTGTAGATTATATACAAGCAAATAGTTTTGTAAATATAAAAAATCATGAAATTGAAACTACTTTTTATTTGCTAATGGTAAAATTAATTTGATGTTGTAATTTGAAAAATAACAAAAGTTTCTTGCTTACTTCAAACTACGATGCTTTGCAACTTATAATGGCACCGTTAGTTTACAAAAATATTTGTCACTGCAAGTTGATTTTAACTTTCAATATTACAAAGAAAGTTTGAAAAATCAAATCGGTTAGAAATCAGTTGGAACTACGAGTTTAATATGTATAATCAAATAATTCCAATTGTCTCTTCGTTTATCTCCATGAAAGATCATTTCTCACACCTTAATTTCCTCACTTATTTCTTAATTTTGCTTCTTTATTAACCGCCACCTATTCTATTATTTATATGCTGTTATATATAATTAATATTATCGCCATTACATAATCGAAGGACGTATTACATGTAACAATAAATATTATATATTATTCACCCAAGAATTTCACCCAAGAAAACAGACTTTATTTTTTTTTACCTTTTTTTCATAAATAATCGACTATTACAGGTGTTTAGAATTTTTAGAAAATTGAATTAATTCGACGGTAGGTTTAATTTTTGGCTAATTAGTTAAATAACTATGCTTTTGCAATCGAATGAGTAATTGATCATAATTGATTGTGTGTAAAAGGCGCATATGAATTGAATAAAAATTTATGTATATTATTGATTTAGTTTATGTGAAATGTTTCGTAGATATATTTGTTTTATGGTAAACAGGACATGGAGTTAAAAATTATGTAAATATTTGTTTTCAGTAAAAAAAAAAAAAAAAAAAAAAAGAAATGAAAAAGAAAAAAAAAAATAGTAACGAAGAAAATAAAATATGATTAAAGGTATTATATTGTTTTTATAAGTACAAAGTGGCTTTGCATCTATAAACATTCGGAAAATCGATATTGTACGCGTGTTAGTTCAATAATTATAAATTGATAACAATATATAACAAATATATAACAACAATATAAGCAAATATAAATAACAATAACTATGGACTAGTTTGTGGTCAAGAAAGTTCCTTCAATGTGTTTTAAAAGACAAAGAAAATATGATATTATTCAGCGAAAAAAAATAATCTCCCTTTATATAAAAAGAGTAAATGTCATATTGAACGAAAGCGACAATTAGCATGTTCTAAAACATTTTTTCATGATCGTACATATCATGTAGGATTAATTAACAATTCATAATTATTAAATGGGCACACAGGAGTTGAATTAACAGCTCGCCGAAATCGAAGAGAGAAGAGTTAAAAGTTTGGAGTGATTCCTTACTATAAAGAGCGGCTTACATTAATAAAAGAATTATTTTTTATTAATTTAATTCTTTCATAATGCTATACGCGACTGATTATTCTAATACGACGTTTTTTCATGTATTAAGTGATAAGTGATAAGTATTTAATTAACTTTGCGCACGCATTTGGCTAGCTGCGAGTTATATCCAATTACTTATCGCCAAACGTACGCATTTACTTGAGTATTTTGCGTTTTGCGCTAGAGGTAATTGTGAATTTTTTTTCCAAATAAATTTTTCATAATATAAGAGAAAAAAAATAAAATTAAAGTACAAGTAGAGAATAAGCAGTGCGTGAGTATAAAACGTAATTTTGATTAAGTAGAGCCGGGGGTGATATTGTAATTTGAATAATAATTTTAAGAGTCGCAGCAGCAGCTCTCTTTGCTACGACTCCTCGTGCAAATTTGTCAAAGCAATGTCCAGACGGTCAGTTGATTGATTAAATAAATGTGCTGCCATCTTATAGAGCTCCTTGAGCGTATTGAGGGCCACGATTACGCGTCGGTGTTATATATGTGTGCGGGCGCGCGCGCGCGCGCGCGATCATGTTAATCCGTCATGCTTGGTATGGCATTTCGTGAAATCTAGAGGTTATGTTTGTCCCTCCAACATAATTTTTTTGTTGTGATGCTTTCAAATTTTTATCTATCTACTACTAATCTGCTTCTGTGTGCGATAAAATATTAACCACTTGAGATTTTAATTAATATTTTAAAGTTAGCGATAATAATAACTTAAGTTTAAATTTTCGTTAATAATTATTTAACGTTAGTTGCAAATCCATACCTTAAGTTCAAAAAAGAAGTTTTCAAAGTCGGTAATAAGTTTTAATTTGTGGTTAATAAATAATTGATGCAAAGACATTTGTTAATTAATCGAAAATTCTTCCAGATTCTTTTAAATTCAAAGCAATCGACTTATCAGTAGAATAAAACAACTTTATTTAATTGCAAAGGATTGGATAATAATTTTTGTTTAATATTTGAGTCATGTTTAAAAGTGTCCGAAATTTTATATCTAATCATAGACGTAAATTTTTGTTTGGTGGAGTATTTTTTGGTACTTTAATTGTATTAGCTAGATATGCTCGAGGTAAACTCAGAGAATGGCAAGAAAAAGAACTTAATGATTTGTTAGAGAGAAATAGACGAAGACAACATTTTGAGAATACGGAGAGAACTTGTAATCAGACTGTGCTACTGCTATCTAATGAATTAAGGACTGCGATTACTAAATGCCTCGACTGTGAAAAAGTTGTTAATGATTTGCGTTCGGGTACCACGGATAAAATTTCATCATGGAACAGATTGAAAATTCTTGCTATATCAAGAACAGTAACGATAATATATTCTTATACTATGTTTGTTATTACTTTAAGAATACAATTCAACATTATTGCTGCAGCTATTTATAAGAATTCGATAGCCGCTAATTCACAAAATGTCGAAAACATAGACAATAAAGTTAAAGAGAGTTATCTGTCACTAACTAGATATTTAATTGAAACCGGAATACAAAAGCTTTCATCGTTAATTCAGCAGAAAGTCAAATGTGCCACGTCTTATTATTCTCTCGGATGTAAATTGGATGCTCAACACATTAATCAGATCTACTGGTCAATACTATCATTGGTATCGGCTGACGAGAGCGAGGATCCAGTGAAAAATTGGTCCTCTTATATAATTGATCCGGAATTCACCAAGAACAATCAGACGGATAAAACACTCGTTAAATTGCTCGATGATACTTTGGATTTATTAGAGAGTCAAGAGGTTCAAGAATTAATGAAAATAAACTTGAGATATGGATTTGCCACATTGTGCGATAGAATATCCGAGTATTTGGATGCGAACGAGGGGGAAGCTGTGAAAGATGATAAACTTGTAAATTTAAAATCAGTAACAATAACAGTGGCTAAAATAATACCGATATTAAATGGTCAGGTGCCAGAGAATCCTACATCCGGTGATTTGCCAACCTATTGGTTGCAGAGACTATTGCTAAGCGAAGAACTAGGAACTTTAGGGGCAAATATTTACGAAGCTATTGGCTATTAAATTTTGAACAATTTATTTTTATTAATTTGGTTATTTCTTATTATGTGAGCGAGGAAGTACTTTTACGAAGAAAGTGTTGATAATAATTTTTTTTGTTTGGTAAGGTTTATACACGTTTCATACAAGTATTGACAATGCTATTGCATTTTGTAAGTTGCTAAAATAATTTTTATACTGTAAGATCTGTATGATAAAATATACAATTTTTTTTTTTATTATGTAAACTTATTTTCCAGAATTCATTTATTTTATAATGATCGGCAAAGTTTCATAATTAATGGGTAATAAATTGACATTTAAACAGAGATGAGATAGATAGATGTTGGACGATAGTAGTGAAGCAAAAATTACTAAAAGATTTTATTCAACTTTTTTCTTTTTTTTTTTTTTTATAAATTTTTGTGCTGCGGCGAAGAGCGATTATCAGATTATCAATTATTTAAACTAATGAAAATTTATAGTAACCCTAAGTACGTGAAAATAATAAACAGTTAAATCACATGTTAATTTAGACGTTTAATTTATTTACAAGATATATTAATATAAAATATATATTATTAATATTATTTATAAGAAAATGAGTTGCTGATTATAATTACAATCTATGTATTCGTTTTTATGGAAATTAATATCTTTTTAACATGTACATCGCTCAAAGACAATGACTTTTAAAAAGATATAATTTCAATTCATTATCAACGATCCCACAAATTCAGTCAAAACGAAAGAACTTAGACACTGCATTATAATTAAAAAACCAAATAAAGAAAAAAAGAAAAAGAAAAAAAAAAAAAGAAAAAAAAAAGAAAATCCCCCGGCTTTTAGTGTCGAAATTCTCCCGTTAATTTCTTACGATAAACATTTTTTACATTATTTTGCCTCATGACAAATGAGTATTTTTAAGAATAAAATCAATCTCGCAATTCTTCATCTCATTTGCGTAATTGCAACAAAATATGAATATTGCACATCTTCGATTTATTTTGCGGCGCTCGCCGAAGTAAGCTTCATTTGAATTTAACGTGTCGGGCCAAGCAGCATTTATAATTCGGGACTTGGATTACTTCGACGGACGTAGCGATTGAAATAATCGGGACGCCAACATTTGCAGCTACCGGGCACGAGGAACCAGTCATAATACAATCGAACCTAAAATCAATAATTAATCTCATGAAACGGCGTGCATTTTTGTAATATTAATAACAATAACCACTACTATTATTATGCTTATGATGATTATTATGATATTATTATTTATAATTATTACCCCTATTATTACAATTGTTGTTGTTGCTGCTGCTGCTACTGTTATTATTATTGTTGTCGTCGTTGTTGTTGTTGTTATTATTATTGTGGTTGTTATTGTTATTATTGTTATTATTATTATTATTATTATTATTATTATTATTATAATAAGAAGCCGTTAGTATTATTTAAGTTTGTAATTGTATTGTTTTTGTTAATATTTAATATTATTATATAGCTATTTACGAATACTTTAAATAAATTTGTTCTTTTACTCATTATTCAAGCCTAATTTTCCATTTTCTATTAATTCAGACACATTATTGAATTTACAAAATTATGTAAATATTGACAAATACCTTTTTAATATTTAATCTTAAACATCATTTTGTCAATTATTCTTTTCATTCAAATAGCTAAGAAAGAGTTGATATAAATCTTTTATGATTTAATAGAACTTTATAAAACGAGTAATGGTAAGATGTAATTACAGGCTGCGAAAAAATTATTTTCCGTAAGCTAAAATTAATGTCGCCCAATAGCGCGGCTTAAAAGTTCCGTAATATTGAGTTTTTTCTTGTAAAATTTACATCAATCTCCATTACTTGAAGTGCCACGATAAAGACAGACTGTTAAAAATATTGGCTAAGTTCATTGATATCGAATTTCATAAGATATAGATAGAGCTTTTCTATTGAATAGATAAGTAATGTTAGTATGAATTTGCAGATTATTTAGAAAAAATCGCTATTATAGTATAATAATTGTTATTAATGAGTTTCTGATGTATATTGCACTCTACTACATGCATTTAATTTCAAAATTTTTAAAAATAAACATTGTATTTCTGATAAGAACCAATATTAGAGCAAAATATTATCAATTGTTTTGGTATACTTTAGATTTGCAGAAGTTTAGCGAATAAATATAAGAAAAATGTTTATACGAGCTTTACCAATGAGCCGCGAAATGTAGTTTACGCATATTATCTATATTAGTGATTATTATCAGTCTTACGTTTTACTTATTAACATTATAGATTGTTTTAAGATCACTTTGCGTTCGTTAAAAAGCGTATAAACGCATAAGGACAAAAAACAAAATGTACCACAGTTGACCGTTCACAATTGCCAGTAATTCGTCATTTATTCTGTGTGCAATTATTGTAATACGTATTTAACATAATTATTATAAATGATATATAAGTTTATTATCGCATTGCACGTGCTTGATAATTGTCATCGGAGCTTTTTACCAATTTTTACCAAAGCATATTTGTATTAAAGATTTAAGTAAATATATATTTAATTGGCTAGACTAACGTAGGCTGTGGAATTTTTGGAGCCCTTGACCTTATCACGTTGCAAGCCAATGAAACATTTACGCTACGGAAGCTTACGAGCTTACTTCGTTTGAAAGCTCATCCCTATATACGTAAATAGCTAGCGAGAAATTGATAAAAGAGAGATAGCGAGCCGGTGGTGGTGGTGGTAGGGTGTGAGCAAGCGGGTATGCGGGAAGTTTTAAAGTGCAATAACCTGGAAGCAGCCCATGTCGTCGACGCCGTCGCAGTGGTGGGACGGGGCACCGGGTAAGGGTGCGGTGCCTCCGTTGCTTCTGCCTTCGATCTCGCCCGCGCGTTTCTGGAGGTACTGCTGGTAGTTTTGGAAGTCGTGTACGGGCGGGGGTGAGCCGACAACGGGCTCGCGTGGACCCGGTAGTCGGCCGTTTTGGCTCTCCTCGAGGAAGGTGTCCGGATAGAAGATCTCCGCCACGAGGAGGCTCGTCCAGCGCGGTGAAGAGAGACAGCCGCCGTCCAGGTAGTGGCATCTCGATTGCCTGGGGCAGAAATATCGTGTCGAGGGTCCGATGTTTACGCGTGGTAAGGTGGAATTCGAGACAATGCCATTATATTACAATCTTTTCTTAATTTGGGATTGAGCTCTATCGTTCAAAGTGACGACCATCGTATCACCACTCGATTGATGATGTTTAAGAGAAGATAAACGGAAAGATTGAAGATATTTGAAGAGTATTTGAAATTTGAAGCTGCGAAGGAACGAAATTAGCCGCATTAATTTTACAATTAACGGGGGGCATTTTATAATTGAGTTACGGTAATATTTGGCAGTGACTTTGTCGTACCTAATAGTATAAAGGGCCAAATAACCTATATAAATAACCTATATATACCTAGTATAAAGAAAAATATCCGTTTTTTATTATTTGCGCGCGCGAGGCTAGTCGATTTGTAAAAAACAAAATAAATAAATGGATATATCCTTAGCTTTATGGAGAGTAGTTTTTTTTTTTTTGGGGGGGTTTTTTTTTTTTTTTTTTTTTTTTTTTTTTAAGTTCTTACAAATATTTTTACCTTCTAAAGTTAAATGATAAATAATAAAAAAGTTTAAAATATTGTGTAACGTAATAACTTGGCTTAATAATTGTATTTTTACAGACACACGCGACCATAAACGTCGCGAATTTTATTTGTAGTTGCGGCGATGGACATATACGGTAAATCCAATATTATTCATTAAGCTGTGTAGTTGCTTAAGGGCCAAGTGCAAGGAGGACGAGGAGGAGGGGGGGGGGATTTCGACCTAGGAGACTCACATGCAGCGTGTGACTTCGATCGTCTGGGTGAAGTAGCCCTCGTAGGGTATCTGCACGACGTATCGCCAGACGCCCTGGTAATTCTTGGCGAATACGGGGGTCGCGTATTCGACTTTAGCTGGACAGGGTGTCGGTGGACCAGTGTACTCCGTCTTCTCCTGGGTAGGCGTCCGTTGCCGGTACTCTGGATTGGCCGTGGGCGGGTCATCCCGACGCTCTGCCGCCGACGTCGTTAGTGGCTCACCTTGGATCGCCTTGTACAACATGCACATCCTACAGTCAAAAGTTAGCGTCTTGGTAAAATTTAATGCTTTTTTTTTTGTTTTTTTTTTTGCTTTTTTTTGTTTTTGTTTTTTGTTTGTTTTGTTTTTAACAATATATGGCAATATATTGTCTCTTAAGTAATGTATGTGTAGATAATGAAATGGTTAATGCGCATTTTCAAGGAGAAGCATTTAGCTAAGTTAACTAACGGAATTTGAAATTGAGTATTGATCGAGACGTTCATTTTGTCAATTACAAATATTATAATTTCTATTCTACAAATAACATCTAACCGTAATTCTATTTCTCTCGAGCATAACTTGGTACCGTAACAATTTAATTCCTCTTTGGTTTATCCGAGCATCTTGTACTTTATGGCCCTTATTTCGTAATATAGCAACATAAAAAAAAAAAAAAAAATAATAAAATAAAACAAAATAAAACGTCGCTGTAGCATATATTCTCCTTTCGTATTCTTTCCTATCTCATTCCATCATCTACTACGTATTGGTTGTAAAGACTCTTCTAATCAATATCTTTCTTATTTATTTATTATTTTTTTGTTTTTTTTTTTTCATTATCACAGGATTTTTACAATTACGGTAGAAATTCGTAAAAATGATTGTAAATTTCAAAAATTATAATAGGAATTCAAAATAAAATCTATACTTACACGCCACCTCCATTCTCGCAAAATTTTCTGCCACTGCGACTCGTGTCGTTACTCTCTTGCGCCCCTCTTTTATTCCGGAAGCTACGCTTCTGGTCGGTGTCAACCCTAAAATTTGCCATTCACGCAATAAGTTGCTTCAATTAAAAGAGGTTCAAGCCGGTTGTTCCGACAAATGGATATAAACTTACGAATTTTGGGAAAACGGCTGCACCTTGGCCACTTTGGGCAGAGAGTCGTCGGCTTTAAGTATCGGCAGGGCTTTACTCAAAAATTTGAGAGTGTGATTTCTGATAAGCTCGCTAAAATCAAAGGGACACGATCGTCGTTCGTTAACATTTCATTATCCTCGTTGGCTCGCATGCCCCGAGTAAATTATTTACTGACTCGCACTTACAATGGATACGAGGATCCGCCAAAGCTCTGTTTCATTGGGTTTTTCGGTATGAATCCTTTGTTCAAGTCCCCGCAGATATTATGTATCGAAACAAATCCCTTTCCCTGCTTTCCCGTATCTGTATTCAAAGCACATAGTGAAAATGCTTGAATGAACGACTCGATGAATGAATCGAGTTGAAAATTTGATCAATTTTTTTTGGGTTTTTTCTTTCTTTTTCTTTTCTTTTTTTTTTTTTTCTTTGGGACCCACGCCGAGTCGCATCCGTTACGCGATAATTCAAGCGATTGATTATTCGATCAACGCTATTACATTAAGGAATAAATCGGGAAAAGTGGGAAGATAATCTATTGGTAATATTATTACCGTGGCATTCCTTGTCGCTGTCGAGATACGGCGGAGGTCTTACTTTGGGCGGCTCGGCATTGGGCGATTCAACGAACGCATAATATCCTTCTGGTGGCTCGTCCGTCAATGTGTTTTTGTCGATTGCGCTGCCCTTATCCTTATTTTTCACCTCTTCCGCATAACAAGAGATGCAAAGTAAAATCATCTGTAAAAGATAAAATTCTCTTACAGGCAAAGGAAATGGATGGGCATTAATTTCACGAACGGTGTAATTCGTTTTGTTCTTCTTCTTCCTTTTCTTTTTTGTTTTTGTTCTTGTTTTGTCGTTTTAATCATTAAGCGATCAGCCCTTAAATATAGCACAAGATTTTGCAATATCAATGTCTCGCTCTCGTTCACGAAATCACGATCGATTGCGCGCGGGAGGGCGATACTTTCGAAATTCGTTGCTGATGAACGCATCGCCCGGATTCGAGATATTCCTGTAAGAAACAGGGTTAACTTTTTTTTTTCTCATCCTTCTTTTTTCATTGAATATTTTCATTCTCATAAAGCGTCGGCACGATCAAGCTACGGAGATCTGAGCCACGGAGACTTAAGCCACGGATTCGGCGAGTATGGCCAAGGCTTTAGGAGCTTGACCGACGCGCGCAAACAGGCATTTTTTTTCCATTTACAGCGTGCGTCCTTATCTCGGTGGCTTACATTCTCTCCGATGGTCAATGGAACATTGGCGGCGAGAACAACACGGACGCGTTATCGTAAGCGCGAAAAATATATCCACGCGAAAGTCGATCCCCGTTAGTGGCTACGAGGCCACTTCCATTGGTATACGTTTGGTCTTAACGGTACTTGGCTCCACAGTGCCGTGAGGTAGAGAGACAGAGAGAGAGAGAGAGAGAGAGAGAGAGAGAGAGAGAGAGAGATAAAAGTACACCAAGGTGCCGATACGAGACGCGTCTTTTTCAATGGTAACCACGGGATTGCGATGTGGTTGGCGGCTGGCATTGTTGCCCGTTCTTTCCTCGATTTTTTCCTTTTTGCGTACAACGAGTTGTACGTTTTTCGGTGCCTGTGACACATTCATATATGTGCCAGGGCCTTTTCCTCATTAAAGGAAATTGTTAACGGTTCATTTTGTACTTGTGAGCGTATTTGTGAGATGCTACTTTTACCGAGGAGGCGGAGGATTTATGAAAGAATAAAAGTCGCTCGATCGCAGTTTCTGGTGAAATAGTAATAAAATTTTATAACGGAACAGTTAGTCGCGAATGAAATTGCCGTTGAATATATTAGTTAACGCTCAAACGTTTGAAGCTATCGAGTTCTATTAGAATTCTATACATTTATAACGTGACTTTAGCGAGTGGCCAATTATTTTTACTTTCGTCAACTGAATTTCATTAATTTTATTAACTATTAGGTAATCGCGTAATACTTTAAGCTCCATCAAGGTTCATTTGGGAAACATCGTAATTTTTTTTAAAAAATTGTTACATTAGCGCCAAGCTATTATTTATATATAAATTATATATAAGTTATTAATCCAAGGTCTTTGTAATTTTTTGTTATGATTATTATTATGATTATTATTATTATTATTTTAAATAAATTGAAAATACCGTCATGTAAATGAAAGTATAGTATTATGAATTTCTTTTCCGGATTTGCTGGATAATACAACGTGATAATAGATGATAATGCAGGTAAACTTTCCTTGATTTCCATAATGTTTTACATAATAATAGTTGCAGAGATAATCAACTTTTTGCATCTCGCGAAGAAAGTATTTTTAGAAAGGTTATGAATACATTTTGCCTAAATTATTGATTGTTTCTCGAAAGTTTTAACACACAGGATTTACATAGGTTTACGTAAAGAATTAAAGTCGATTTATACTCTCGTCAGTCAATTTATAAGATAAGGATATTATTGTTTCTCCATTTTTGCTTTCTACAAAAGTCCGTAAAAAGTGTAACATAATATCGATAGCTTTTGAAAGTATTTTAAAATCCCGCATTGCTAAATGATTCCTTGGAACACGGGACAGGCAATGGCTTATCGTTTTTTCCTACATCGACCCTTTTCTCTAAATTAATCCAACTCCCAAGTCCGAATTAACCCAAGACTAGTGTCCTACAATTTCAAACGTAGAGGCTTGTTACGTGCTTGTTGGGCAAAAATAATTTTCACCAGGGTGGAGTAGGGGGTGAGTTAAGCTACTCCTCCAATTGTGCAACGAGCGATGCATCATTGGATATTTTATAGAACGTTAGAATAGTTAAAAGTAACAAAGTTGGCCAAGCGATTATTAAAAGTTCTTGATCGAAAGTCGTGCGCGCATCGATTTAATGATTTAACGACAGGTGGATGACCGCTATCAGGTCGATATACAGTTAACTCAAAAAACAAAACAAAAAAAAAAAACAAAAAACAAAAAAAAACAAACAATACGAGAGGCCCGAAAAGTCGTCCGAGATAGATTTTAAGATGCAGCGGTAAGGAGCGGCGTGGCTGCTCATTGCCAAGCATCGATAAGCCACACCATGTCTCTGCAATTATAGCATTGTCTTTCCCATAGAGGAGCGCGGGGTTCGACGCCCGAGGAACTGCTCTCCTAAAAATAAAGCGACTTTAAGAGGAGGCGCGTGCTTAACCTACTTGTCTACATGTAGCCATAATTCTAGCATTGGGAAAGCTGGTTAAATCGTTTGGTTGCGTGCACGTTACAGTTATGTCGAGACGATGACCCGTGGAAAAACCGGTTTCCCGAGAAGCGCCCCGATCGAGTTTGGTGTTTGTAAAAACAAAATAAAAAAAAAAATATAAAAACAAACAAAAAATAAATACACGAAAAAATGTTGGTAATGTCGGATCCCGTATCCCGGCTCTTAGGTCTCATTTTATTCACTAGCCTCTTAGGCTCTCTCGAGGCTCGCAATTTTGCATTTGCGTAAAATTGTTAGTTTGCCATGTATTTCGTGCTTTGCTAAGCGTTGCGCGTGCAACGATCGTAAACGGATTGTTCAAGGTTTTTCGTTTAACTAATATTTGGGAGGAACGGTTTAGGTAAATGTTGTCTTGTACCTTTATCGAAGGAAATCGTACCGAGTTATTGGCAAAAAGCTCGTATGTACGAAAATTACAGTTAAAAATTCATAAATTTCATTACGCATCCTTATAATCACGCTCGCACCTTTAATTGGAAGTTTTATCAAGTATTATACAACACCCCGAAATAGACTATTATTAGTATGAATCTTTTTTTTATATATTTAGTGTTTAAATTAATAAGAGTTGTATTCTCGAATGGGAATATAAAATGTTTATTTTATTGGGTAACCAAAGACTACGATATATTGCAAACTTATATAAACATTAACCGAGGCTTTTACATTTACTTTAAATAATAACGGACGATTTGAAGAAAAACTTTCACCGTAGAAGTAGAAAGCATTCTCTCCTATGATATTGTTACTTTAATTTTATATCGCCGTGCGATTTAAAAAAAAATTATAATAAATTATGATGAAATCGAAACATAAAACATATAAATCAGTACGACTGATGAACAAATGTAAAAATAAAAGAAAAACAAACAATCCGAGATCTTTGAAGGATTTTAATGGGAATTTTGCATTTATATTTCTAAAAAGCATAAATATAAATGGTATGCGATCGTTTTCATCACCTTCAGTCTCGAATTATTTCAAAGAAGCTCTCAGTTGAGAAGTAAGTACGTTTGAAACTATCGACAAACTATCGCACACTTTCATTTCGAATCACGATATCACTGCCAAAGTAAAAAGTAAATAATGTCCTGCAAAAATAAAAAAAAAAAAAAAAATGAGAACGAAAATGAAAAAGAACAAAAAAAAAAAAGATTGAAAAACACAGATGTAAATAACGATATTAACGAATTGGTAGAAATTGGCGCTACTGCCGTGTTTCAAAATCTCTGACAAACTATGTAGAACGAACATCCCCCCCTCCCCCCCATCAATCCCTTCGATCCCTTCGAGGATATGGCGGCAAACAACGTTGGCCGAAATCTCAAATTTACAGCTACTCGAGCGAGTCGAGCCTCCGACAAAAACCAGCGCCTCGCGATTAACGGAGCGCACACCCGCCGATTTGATCCTGCCAGATCCAGCAGACTATCTCCGACGAGGATAAAGATGGTGAAAACAACAACTACAACAACGACAACAACGACAACAACGACAACAACGACAACAACAAAAAGGTAAATAAAGCCGGCTCTTACGACGAAGGTGCGGAACTCCATGTCGATCGCGGGCTGACTCCAGCGGCTCCAGCGGTCAGAAGGCTTTCCTCTCTTCCTCGTTCTCCAGCTCAGTATCCACATGAAGTGCTCGCGGTCGGATGTGGACTGAGGTGTTCACGGGAGCGTCCGCGGCTCCTCTTCCCTCGAGCACGGGATCGACCCCCAGGCAGTCGACTAACGGCCAACATTCTTTGTCGTGCGCCGCTGACGCTCGTGACCTTGACCAACTCGAGCTGCGGCAGGGGAAGATGGCGATATGGGAAAAGGAGGAGGAGGAGGAAATCCGAGGAGGGAGAGGGTACTGTTGCAGCGGGAGTTCAATGCCGCCGAGTGATGCAGGAGACTTGTGCATTACGGTTAGCGTTCTTAGCTTTTAGTTCCCTTGGGGGTTGGACTGCACGTTTTCAAGATCTCACGCTAGCAAAACTCCGTCACTAGATTGAAATGATCCGCATTTTAATCTAATCGACTAGATTATACATAATATCGTATAACAAGAGTATGATTTTACCGTTTGAACGTAATTGCCACGCAGCCTCCGGCAAATTAGTAGATTATAAAAATTCAGCATAATTTTTAAAGTTAGTTTAAAAGTTTTAATTTTCAACTTAATTGATACTTTTACGCTTATTTTACATGGAGCACGAGAGATTTGTATATTGAGAATTTATTGAGAGTTTGTATTTAGTATTTCGTTATTCAGTGGTAAAGCAATGCGAGTCTAAATCGTTTCCGAATAATACAAATGTAACGCAGCTATGGATAAAATACTGGAAGAATTTCATTTGACGAATTAAGTGTTTGAAATTGTTGTAAATTTCGTTGCTATAAGTAATCAAAATATATAAAGACTCATTTGATAAATGTGTTGGTTAAAATTTCAAACACTGGCAAAATGACCAACAAATGGCAGCACAATATTCGGTAAAAAATTTAAAAATTATTTTACGCAAATTTGTCGATTTAGCGAAAATTAGAGGGGAATTTTATTTAAATACGACACAGCTTAGGAGTAGTAAGTGTACTTTGCCAAGTACATACATTCAATCATTGGCGTTTATAGCTGCTACTTTCCTGGTCTCTCTAACTGTATAGTCTAGAATATAACAGTACATCAACACAATACCGAATACATTAAGTCTGCCGGTTGCGTCATGTGCTCAAAAGTATTTTATCTTCGGCTTTTTTCTCTCTTTCTTAAAAATCCTACACTACCGCGACTACGTACTTTGGAATATTGAAAGCAAAGCATTTATAAATAAATAGTGAGCATTGCCTGCGTATTATTAATTCATAAGATGATAATTGCTGAATTTATTATTTAAAATTTCCTACTAAAATGATTGTAAGAGCATTTTCTAATTATGGCATCAACTTAATGCTAATTTCAAGATTATAATTAACGTAGAACTATTTATGTGATTTTTTTTTTTTTTTTTTTTTTTTTTTTTTTTTTTATAAACTACGTTAATAGACACGAATAGTTTAACATTAATAATAACAACAACAACAACAACAACAATAATAATAATGAAATCTAGAACCCAGAGATAATGAAAAACTGCAATAACATCGATTCGATTCGATTAAATATATAAAATAAAAATGGAACTATTAATTAAGATTTCAAGCGCGTTGAACACACAATGCTTGCATATCAATTTTTTTTTTACCTCGCATTATCTTTACGGAATTTGTACCTATTGATTAACCCATTGACCGAATAATTAAAGACAATTTCAATGTTATCTTTTTTTAAAGTATAATTTAACGTATTGTACGATGCATTGTAAGGCAAATTTTTATATAATAAATTACAAATAAACAAAATTAATTTATAATATAATAATATATGATGAGCAAGTACCAATCTACGTGATACTTGAAAAATCATTGTAAATCATTGTAAGAAAACATAATTGTTACATTATCATTTTGGAATGCCAATTGGACTAATGTAACTGGTCTATTAAATTTCTATTAAATGAGAGAAACGCGCTTTATATTGGCAATGAATAAGTATGCATTAATGTTGCATTGGGAGAATTTTATTATGATAATATTCGTTAGAGAACAGTGAGCTTTTGCTTAGGGAGCTCGCAGAAACCATAATTGTACTTTGCCGCATTTGTAATCGTCCATTGCAATGGAATTGCACTTTACAGGAAGGCTGAAATGCATTTCTAGTGCACAAACATTTTGCTGTTCTAAATTGTTTAGAGAATCTTGAAGGTGACCTCGCTATGAATTCTAGATAGTCATTGGCATAGGTACGAGTCATACTTTAATTCAAATTCATTTATAATTTAAGTAACGGCTCTCTTTAGCCAATAGTAATCAAATCCAGGTCATTCAAGGATACGTTTTTTTATACATTTACGTTTTAAGGTCAAATATATAAGTTTTACAAATAATTCTTATTCCCTGTTAACTTAATTCTATAGTTTAACGACTAAAAAACTAAAAACAAAAAACAAAAAGATAAATAAAAACGAGCAATACCGTTTAATCAACACGATCTAATATTTTTTATTTCTTTCATTATGGTTTTTCTTTCTTGCAAATTCAATTTGATTTTTACTGGGCTTTATGCACAAAATATAGAACACGATTGCAACTCTGAAAATTATCCATAAACAAGTTTATCAAAATAGCAAGCTTATCAATTAATTTATTTAATTTTTTCCGCAAAAGCGTTTCTTAATTGTGCGGGACTGAGGTATAGGCGACAGAAATAAACGAGATGGAATATCAAGTTAAAAAAAATTTATTACGCAAAACTGTATGTTCTACAATATAAAATTAAAAAAAACAAAAACAAAAAAAAAAAAAAAAAAAAAAAAAAAAAAAAACAAAAAAAAACAACAAAAAAAGTCGACAGAATAAAAAAGTAATTGGAAGAAAATGAAGAAGAATAGAAATAAAGGAGGACGAAGAAGAAGAAGAAGAAGAAGGTGAAGTAGTTGCTGTAGTAATAGTAGTAGTAGCAGTAGTAGTAGTAATAATAGTAATAGTAGTGGAAGTAGTAGTGTAATTAGTAGTAGTGGTAGTAATAGTAATAATAGTAGTAATAGTGGTAGAGGTAGAAGAAAAAGTAGTAGAAGTAGTAGTAGCGGTAGTAGCGGTTGTTGTTATAGTTGTTGAATTAGAAAGAGAAAGAGGTGAGTGAGTGGGAGAAGGAGGAGAAAGGGAAAACGATATCAGCCTCTTGGTTATGTTGAAACGTCGTTCATTTGGTCGTTGATCATATCGTTTAGTACGGCATGTCGGCCCACTACTCTGGAGGGGGGGGGGCACTTAGTAGACGACGGTTGGGTCGTGCTCGAGCTTGTGGTAAATGAAAATGTCTTGTAAGGAGAAGTTGGGCCCGTGGAAGTCAATGTCACTTATGGGCCTGTCGAGGGGATAGCCGAAGGGCCGTGTGTCGATGATGGAGTCCCCGAAGACTCTCAACTTGTAGGTTTTGAGTTCCGACACCGGCGAGACGAACACGAATAGCTTGAACGCGAGGCCCTCGGGTTTGCCCCTGGGGAGGATGAGACGCTCAGGGAAGGCGAGGATCCGACTCTGGAGCTTGAGCTGCTCGGCCCCGTTTAATGCCTTGAGGACCCTCTTGTAGAAGATCTCGCTCGGCTCCGGGTCGTGGCCCACGATCTTAAAGTCGTGACAGTTGCGCACTATCGCGTTCGCCCCGGGGCTCACTACAAGAAAAAAAAAGGGGGGAGGAAAATCAAGTTCCCTTTAATTAAAGCATTTCTTCGATGCTTGCACGCAAGTTACATTAAGCCGTAATAATACAATACAATTAATCGAATAATTTCATATAAATGCCTAAACTCTTATAGAGAAAGATATTTCGAGACCTATTTAATTTTGGTGGCAAAGTAATGGTAAGATAGTGAGATTCCATGGCCATGTGTCAAATGTCAGCAGGCAAAGCAAAAGTAAAAGTCATTAACGCGCATTTTTCACGCAATCAATTAATCAATGTCCTTGGATGTGGCGACATAAGGATCGGGCCGCCTTTTGTTATTATTAGATGGCTATGTGATTAAAAGCGGGAGCTTACGGTCGTAAACGAAGTTGTCGAGCTCGAGAAATTCATTGTGATGCTCCGTAAAGTCGATCTCCTTCATGTGGACATTATATTTGGGCCCGAGGAAAATCCTGATCGCAGCCTTGGTCATCTTCTCGGCGTTGATGTTGATGTAGACGTTGAAGGGCTTATGATTGAGGCGGTGCTGACGCACCTGAATCAGGTAGGACTCGGCCTCTTGTTCGTTAGAGACGGCCAGGCCGTTGCTTATCGTCGCGTCGAAATGGTCGAAGTAGGTTATGAGCTTGTCGGTTGAGACAGATTTTATTTGCAGATCCGGGAACTGAATCTCTTCGGGCTTGTAGGGCTTCTGGTTGAACTTGTACCTACGGCAAAGGCAACGTTTGTCCCTTAGCGAGCCGATATATACAATGCCTTGGTCGCGCTGCACCGCGAGCAAGCTCGATTAAAGCTTTCGGAGTGTCGAGTTGTAAATACGGTCCCGAATGTAACCCATCGACCATTTCACGTTTTATTAGAGCATCGCAGGTGGATCGAATGAATTCAAATACGAAGCGATAAAGTAAATATAGAACGAAGACGTAATCTCGGTGAGAAATTGCGTCGCTCGAGCGTAAGATTCGATCGACGAGTCGTGGCAATTAAGTCGTACGTGCGGAGCTTGCGAGAGCTTGCTTAAAGCCGAGCCGACGAAGAGTCGGACGATCGAAAAAGCGTACTATTTTAAAACAATGGCGGTTGACTGACTTGGAGTAGTAGTGGAAGATTCTCTTGTAGAGTCGCCAAAAGGCAGGATCGCGCAAGCTGGTTGTGTACTGCTGAAGGGCACTGGGCTGGAGCTTCTCCGAGGTGAGGGGTACGCCGCTAAAGCCGAGGATATCGCGACCGAGCGAGTCGATGCTGCCGTAGTATTGTGGATTGTAGGAGTCGGCGTTGCCCTCGATTATGTTACCTAGAATGTCGAGACCGTCGGGGGTGTAGATCTTGGAGGTCTTGGCCTCCTTCGTTAGGACGATGCCCGAGTCCACGGCCTGGCTGATTCTGCTCTCGTATTCCTTGCTTTCCTGCCCCAAAATAGCGAAAGCCAAAACATTTTAGTTTTCTATATCGTACTGGTTTGGGGATGGGTAGGCGGGGATGGGTAGAGGCAGAGAGTGGCGCGGCCGATCGCGATATCCATTAATCGAAACTTGAATGACATTAAGTAGTGGCATTGTGTATTTCATGATTACTTTGGTGTGCGGATAGTTACGTAGGTAAGTTACGTAAGGTAAAAGGACGTAAGGTCGACATCAGACTCGTGGGTCTATTATTAATTCTCGAATGAAAAACAATGATTTTTCATCACGATTCAAAGCACTTTTTGAAATTTTTGTTACGATTTTCCAAGCTTCAATACCTTCTCACTCCAACGATAATGAAAAATTATCTATCAGCATACGGTTTCTTCCCCATCCCCTCCCCGCCCCATCCCTCTTCCCCTATCCACGATTTAACGTTAATGATCTGCCGTTAATATAACGGAGCAACGATGGGATACGACAAGCCAAGAAGACTCACGTGAATTTGATGGTACTTGGTTTTCGGGAAGTAGCTGTTGGACGGCCTGGATGGGAATGGCAGGCCGTTCGGGTAGGACAAAGTTGGCCAAAATCCTGGATAAAATGGCCTGCTGTAGTCGTAATCTTCGATCTTTCCCAGATCATTGGATAGACGCTCGAGGTAATATCGATTGTATAGCAGCTTGTGTATGTAAAGGTAAGCCTCGCCACGGGAGTTCTTGGGTAAGTTGATTTCGTCGCCACTTAGGAAGGATGGATATTGTGTTCGAAGGAAGAAGTAGAAGTTGTTGAGGCCAATGTCCTCCGTGAAGTAGTTGAGGCGCTGATCGTAGTTATACTCGTCCGTCAGGTAGAAGTTCGAGTAA